TCCCTAATAATCCCTTGTTCAATATACGAAAATACAAGTACTACCCACTCTTGTTGTTTATTATACAACTTATTTGTACTCCTATAATGATGACTGGAAGACATGTTGTTTGAAATAAAACTACTAATAACCCCATAATGATGACTGGAATACGTTTCGTTTAATATAAAACTATTGCTAACTCCTATAACGATGACTGGAAGACATGTTGTTTAATATACAACTACTGCTAACTCCTATAATGTTGACTGGAAGAATTGTTGTTTAATATTCCCAAATACTGTAGCGCTGCCTAATGAACATCTTATTGTTGTTTAGTCCACAACTATTGTTATCTCCTGTAATGTTGACTGGAAGAGTTGTTGTTTAATATTCCCAAATACTGTAGCGCTGCCTAATGAATATCTTATTGTTGTTTAGTCCACAACTATTGTTAGCTTCTATAATGTTGACTGGAAGAGTTGTTATTTAATATTCCCAAATACTGTAGCGCTGCCTAATGAATATCTTATTGTTGTTTAGCCCACAACTATTGTTAAATCCTGTAATGCTACTTTATAGTCTCCTGTTCTTAAGTCCCTTATTACTGTTAACTTTTATGATGCCGCGTAATATTTCTTATTTCTTTAGAACTAGTGCTAACACTGTTTAACATTTTTACGTTCTTTAGTCCACAAATACTATTGACTTCTGTACTATTATTTAAAAGTGCATTATTTTATGTACAACTAGTGCATAATCTTGTAATTATATCAATCTCTCATTGTTCATTACCTTATGAGTTAGTAGTTGATGTGAACGTATGTAAAATACACGTCACATAAATAATAATAACTGCGAAATGACTATTAACGTCTTTACATCGAGGTTACTTGATAGAATTACTAGCCTACAAACACTTGCGAACAGTTTTGATGTTGTCTGTCACACAGTCAATGTGGTTGGAACAGTTGTAGAGTGGACATTGTAGCACGTGGGCGAAATAATTTGTGTAAATACCTGAGAACTCATGGCAGTGGTATTCCACTGTTGTTGTTTTTTTTAAATGTTTAATATTGCCACCATCATTTGAGGTCATACTTGTGCTCTGTCCAACTGAACCTCAGGTTTAAACTTTGTAAGCCCATAAAGTTAGTGCCAACCGGTTACTGCGTCCATCCTTGGATATGCAGCATGTTGCATCTCACAAAGATTCGTTCAAATTCCTGTCGCAATGGTTTCTTCAGTTGAGGAGTCGTTGTTGAAACATGACCATAGGACCACATCTTTTAATCAGCAGAAGTGAGATCAGAGGAGTATGATGGTAAGTTATGATGAATCTGACGGCTAAATATCCAGTTCTCACCAAAAGTCTGTGAAATCAATGCCTTTACCGGGCAGTGGACATAGGGCGGGGCACCATCCTGGACTCACTGATGGAATTCTGGTATCATAAGAGTACACAACAGCTTCCACTAACTTTGGGCAAGCTCCTGGACGTTCTTCTTCAAAGAATGCAAGGGTTCTTTTGTTGTTACCAGTGGATTCTTATTGGCCTGAAAGAGGTAACTCGGCCACATTTGTTCTGTAGATGCTTCGGAGTTATCTTTTACTTACTACAGCACGTATTATAAAATCCAACATAAACATTTTAGTAAGATCCACTTTAAACTCCTAAACACTCTGGATAGAGTAGAAGACCATATGGATGGTAATACAGAAAACATTCTATGTTAAACCAGTCATACGTGCCACACACTGGACATTGTTTGCACCACGAATGGAACTTGCAGCAAGTGTTTTATTGGTGTTCATTACCTCAATCAGCTGACAACAACAGCTGTTCAATGCCCATATTTTATATGGTGGTCCTGGGACGATAAGCCTAATTATTCTGGTGACATCGGTACACTTTTTGTTTCAAACTTAATATTGTGTTGAGATTTCCATTATACTAGCAACAGAATAACAGTCGTCCGCTGCATACTGTGGTTACATACAACACTAGGTTTCGTATAATAACAGTCGTCCGCTGCATCCTGTGGTTACATACAACACTAGGTTTCGTATAATAACAGTCGTCCGCTGCATCCTGTGGTTACATACAACACTAGGTTTCGTATAATAACAGTCGTCCGCTGCATCCTGTGGTTACATACAACACTAGGTTTCGTATAATAACAGTCGTCCGCTGCATACTGTGGTTACATACAACACTAGGTTTCGTATAATAACAGTCGTCCGCTGCATACTGTGGTTACATACAACACTAGGTTTCGTATAATAACAGTCGTCCGCTGCATCCTGTGGTTACATACAACACTAGGTTTCGTATAATAACAGTCGTCCGCTGCATCCTGTGGTTACATACAACAACAGTAGTCTGCTGCATCCTGTGGTTACATATCACCTAAAGTTCCATATAATGACTAACAATTAACTGTGTGTCACTTGTTGTTTGACGTCTAAATCTACAACTACTACTAACTCTTCAGTAATGCTACGAGTTACTTCCTGTTTCTGTTTAAATTGACATGAATTGCAAACTTCTGTGGTTTTGTGTTTCAGATGTTGACTGTTTAAATCCACAACTACTACTAGCTTCTGTAATTCTGTTTCATTTGTCGCTTAACTGTTTAAATCCATAAATACGGCAATTTGTTTTTTCAATTTTATGATTCATTTGTTGCTTAACTGTTTAAATTCACGATTACTGCTAACTTCTATAATTCTGTTTCATTTGTCGCTTAACTGTTTAAATCCATAACTACGGCAATTTTTTTTTTCAATTTTATGTTTCATTTGTTGCTTAACTGTTTAAATCCACAACTACTGCTAACTTCTGTAATTCGTGTGCCACTGGTTTTCTCAGTTTTTATTTCGTTCAGTGTTTATTTTCCAGAACTCTTCAGCTCTGGTGGATATGACAGCAGACAATTTTATCCAAAATGCTAATTTTCTATGCAGCACAAAACATTTAATGTTATGAATTAAATATTATGTTTTTGTATAAATTTTCGAACTAATCAAAAAGTTTATCGTCATTGTGAATATATTTTCAACCATTCTTGGCCTACCATTTTACAACTATCTAGGCCTAAACCTAAACCTAACAAGAACTGCCTTGCCTAACAGTTGTTAGCCTAATCAAAAAGTTTATCGTCATGTGAATATATTGTCAACCATTCATGGCCTACCATTTTACAACTATCTAGGCCTAAACCTAAACCTAACAAGAACTGCCTTGCCTAACAGTTGTTAGCCTAATCAAAAAATTTATCGTCATGTGAATATATTGTCAACCATTCTTGGCCTACCATTTTACAACTATCTAGGCCTAAACCTAAACCTAACAAGAACTGCCTTGCCTAACAGTTGTTAGCCTAATCAAAAAGTTTATCGTCATGTGAATATATTGTCAACAATTCTTGGCCTACCATTTTACAACTATCTATACCTAAACCTAACAAGAACTGCCTTGACTAACAGTTGTTAGCCTTAGCTCTTGTATCTCACCTGTTAATGTCAGGTAAACCTGGTGGAGCGTTGTGAATGAAATAAACAAAAGTTTTACTAAGTACAACCGATAAAAACTTGTGAAATTTAATGTTATTGTTTAAAACAATGAAAGATGGCAAAGGAAAGAAACCACTGTATGTTGTTTTTATTCACATATTCCTTTTAATTAGCCGCAGTCTACTGTGTTTTTATCACTAATGATGATGTGTGTCTGTTAACCTTAATTGTTGTTAAAAATCTCGAATACGCGGCTCTAGCTCACTCTGGTGGTATTTGATATTTCTACTACAAAGTTGCATATTTGTGGTTATCAGGGGAAGTTCGATTTCGGTTCCTTCAAGGCTGTGGCACGTTCACGTTTCAAAGTAAATATATATATATATATATCTTAGCTTATCCGGTACAGAAATCAATTTACAACACGTAGACACAATAATTCTTATAACAGTTATCAAGAACTTCAAATAATTATAATAAAATTAATACACAACCTTGTGAAGGTCTTTAATGAATTCGATATAAATATTCAAGTTACAGAGAGACGTCTACATTTCAAATCGCAACTACAGCCCTGACGTAGCTCATTCAAAAAGTTAAGCTCTGTAGCCAATTATGGGAAAATATCCAGACTATTCAGAAAGAAACATGAAACTCTACAGGGATACTGAGTAAATTCGATTTGCATATCCAAGTTGCCATAAGTGATCCCGGGGTTCTTCAGAATGAGCTGACATAAGATGACAAATCGAAAACAGCATCATGTGAAACATTCTGCTCTCGCGGACTGTACAAAAACTGGCAAACTATTTTTTTATTGTCCGTCTTTGTTGAGAAGAGAGAGAGAATGAGCCTCGAGAATGACCCGGCTTTCTTTAATTCTTCGTCAACGTATTTCTTCCTACTGACCAATCGAACAGAGCCTGGCCGGAGTCACACAGACACGTCTTTATAGAGCTGGTGTAGACTCGAGTTAGGAAACTGTGACAAAAAATCTTGAATTCAAGTGGCAAGTCATATATATGTCACAAGAGGGTGGTTTGTGTCGCCTACTACCATTATTTATGTTGTCAACCTCCTTTACAAGTCTGTGGTTATAACTCTTAAAAATAACGTTACAGAGTTTTGGTTACACAAGACACGACAAGAGAATAACAACGTAGTAGCCCAGGTCACATAGCCATATTCAAGACAAAAACCATTAACGGGAAGCCCTTTTTTCTCCAACGATAAATATATATAACATAAAAGTAATGGTGCTACTTTAGTGTCTAGTTATCAACAGTGCCGAAAATGTTCTAAAACTAAAATTTTCAACGTTGCGCACGCGCAGGTTTTAAACAAACAAATCTTAGAATTTGTTTAAATATTTTAATCACGTTCTAGACCTCTTAACCAGAAATTGAATAGAACCAAATACCTTTGTATGCTTAACTCTACAGGCTCAATATAATCAATCACAGTATCCTAGTACTGGCTCAATATAATCAAAACATCCTAGTACCGGCTCAATATAATCAATCACAGTATCCTAGTACTGGCTCAATATAATCAATCACAGTATCCTAGTACTGGCTCAATATAATCAAAACATCCTAGTACCGACTCAATATAATCAAAATATCCTAGTATCGGCTCAATATAATCCCAGTATCCTAGTACCGGCTCAATATAATCAAAATATCCTAGTATCGGCTCAATATAATCACAGTATCCTAGTA